CTGTTTTTAAAATCAGTAGGGTTTATGTAGAACTTCACTTCAAATTAGTTGCTTTTATTTTTGGTTAGGGGGCAAAGAAACCAAATGGTTTGATAAATGGATATCACATTTGGAGTCAGAAGATTTGGTTTTCAATTTTGCAGGCTGTCGTTGTCTTTACTATACTGGACCCTCAGCCTTCCTGGGCCTCAGCACTATTTTACTTTCTTTGGTTTTAATGTACTGCTCTATTATGAACTTCATATAAAGGATACATAAATGATTTATTTTTAGTCTTCTTTTCTAATATATGTTGTCTTAAGGCCATATATTTTCTTCTGAGTGTGACTTTAACTACATCCCACAGGTTTTGATATGTCGTATTTTTATTTTCATTTAGTTAAAATTATTTTCTAATGTCTATTGTGATTTCTTTCTTAATCCTATGGTTAATTAGAAGTCAGAGTTACTTAGAAGTTAGGTTACTTGCTAGTTAGAGAACATTCTGTTTTTATTTTTTTTTAATAATCTATTGAGACATGATTTTATGGCTCCACATATGGCCAATTTTAGTAAATGTTCTATGCGTTCTTGAAAAGAATATATATTCTGCAATTGTTGGATACAACATTTTTATAAGTCAATATGATCAAGTTTGTAAATTATTTTCAAATCTTTTTATTAACTTTTATCAGTATATTTACTATTTTGGTATGCTTGTTATGTCAATTATTGACAAAAAAATATATTAAAATAAGCTCTCCCTATGATTGGAAACTATTGTTTGACTTTTTAGTTCTACCAGTTTCTGCTTTATATGTTTTGAAGCTATGCTTTTATAGACATTAAATTTAGAATGTCTGTATCTTACATAGTAATTGCTTTTATCATTGTGAAGTGCCACTTAGAGTAAGGCTTTATGCTTTATGTATGTGTATATTTATATTAGTTTTCTTAGTTACTGTTTGCATTTTATATATTTGTATCCCTTCACTTTTAACCTTTCTGTATAATATTTAAAATGTCTGCTATAAGCAGCATACAGTGAGTATTAAAAATTAACCATACAATCTACATATTATACTTAAGAATAGTCCTTTTACATTTAATGCAGTTAATGTAAATGCTGATAATTTGGAGTTAAATCTACTATTTATTCCAGAAACTCTCTGTTTATTCCGATTTCTTGCTCTTTTTATATTAATTATTTAATTTTTTAATTCTATTTCCCACTATTAGCCTGTTAGTTATCCAGTCTTCTACAAGCATTTTAGTAGCCATCCTTTGAGTTAAAACATTTATGATTTATAAAAGTTTAATTTCAGTTAGTGCTTTTACCACTTCTCAGATAATTCAAAGATCTTTAGAACACTTTAATTTTAATGTCCTACTACTTAAAAAAAACTATTGCATATTTTAATTCTATGCATACAAGCAGTTCTACTTTGCATGGCTCCAGTACACATGAAGTTCAGTTACCATGATTTAAATATAAGGAATAACTGTCCTCAACATCCCTCAAGTTTCAGTTACTATAGTATATTAACTATTAATAATTGAATAAAGTACAAACGTTGTTGCCAGCCCTTCAGTCCACAAATCACTATGTAAATAACAGGTGCACATCATAAGAGGTGACTTAACTGCATTGCTTCTTTCAAAGTCTTTGATGGTTGCTCACTGGGCATCTTTTGCTCAGTTCATTCACAAACAATAAAGCATGTAGTTATGTTCCATATGTTTTTCCCAGTAATCAACTCATATGACATCTTCTAAAAATGGCTAAAGAGTGAATTGACCAATAAAGATGAAAAAACAAAGAAATGAAATGTAATGTTACCAAAAGGGAAATTCAAACAAAATATAAATGGAGTTACAGAAGAAATAACTTGTATGGGAATGTTGATACCACCACCATCTGAGACAACTTATTTATTTTAGAGACAGGGTCTTGCTCTGTCACCTAAGCTGGAATGCAGGTGGTATGATGATAGCTCACTGCAGCCTTGGAATACCTGGGCTCAATTAATCCTTTTACTTCAGCCTCCCATGTAGCTGGGAGGTATGCACTACCATGCCCAAGTTTTTTTTTTTTTTTGGTAGAGACAGGATCTCACTACATTGTCCAGGCTGGCTGAGAAACTCTAGATATTTAATCAGAGGAACTTGATGATGGGAGAAAAGTGGTTTCAAAGGATGAAGATGTCTCAAAAGAAATAATGATGGTAAAAAAATTTACATTAAATAAACACTTGAAAATATTTAATAATATTTATAAGCAGAGGATAAAATGGTGGAAGATAATCTAGACTTAAAAAGAAGTATGACAATTTGCCATAATACTAAAAAGATATTCTCTTGTAACTTATATAATAAAGATAGAAGGGCAAGCACTGTCTAAGCTACACTTTTAAAAAGAAATAAAGCATTCTACTTCTAAGTGTTTATAATGTTTTTAATTACAGTATGTGAAATATCAGTTTTATTACTGTTTCCTTTCCATTTATACCTAAGAAATTTCAATGTTTTCATAAAAGCTTTTAGAAGTCACAATACAGTTTTTCTTATTGATTATTAAGATTGCTAGATACAGTATCAGTCTGTACAATTTTATGATTCCACACTGTTATGTGGAGCAAAGAATAGTATTTTAAATCCCATGAGACATTATTTCATTTTATGCAGTCAAAGTTTGTTTGTATTTACTCATATATTTATATTTTCTGTTGCTTTTCATTTCTTTCTGCATAGAAATGTGTCATTATGTGGAATCACTTTCTTTTTGTCTTAATAATTCCCATTAGTAGTTCCTTTAATATGAGCCTAATGGTAATAAAATCTCTCAATTTTTGTTTGCTTGAAGTATCTATCTTTTTCTCATTTTAAATAATCTTTTGGTTGGGTTGGCAGATATTTGCTATTTTGCTGTTCATAAATATCCTTCTATTGTTTTATAAGTTTCATGGTTTCTGTTGAAATGTCAGCTATCAGTCTTGTTACATCCTTGAAAGTATTATTTTTTATTTTCTTGTACTTTTCTTTTTGTCTTTGGTTTTTGTCAATTTTCCTATGATATTCCTTGATGTGGCTTTCTTTGTATTTATCCTTTTGGAGTTTGCAGTACTTCTGACATCGGTGATTTGGTGCCTTTTTAAGAGTTTTGGAAAGTTTCTTTCAAATATTGCTTCTCTCATTCTTTCTCTCTTTTCTTGGGATCTAATCATAGGTATGCTAGATGTTTTATTGTGCTATATATTTCTTATTTTCTCTTTCTCTCCATGCTTTAAACTGGTTATAGTCTTCTGATCTGTCTTCCAGATTACAAATTCTCCTTTGAGCTATGTCTAATCTCCTGTTAAACTCATTTATTTAGGTTTTTATTTGTTATTGACTTTTTAGATCCTAGAGTTTACAACTGATTCTTTGCATCATTTTCAGTTTTATTCTGAAACTCTCTTGTCATTTAAATTTTTGAACATGTTAGTTATTTTAAAGTCTGTGTCTGATAAATCCAGTATTTGAACTTCCTGTGGATCATTTTATGTTATCTCTTTTCTTCTCTTGATTTTTTTTCCCCTACAAACTTTTGAGTTATATTTTATTGATTCAGAGCTAGGCTTTAGTCTTTGCAAGGACTGATCTGTTCCCAGTTTTCCTATACTTCTAGGATAAAGCTCTTTAGAAATCTCAGCTAAAATCCTGGAGTGTTTACTAGGAACAATCTTTCTTAGCAAACCCTGAACTCAAATTTTTATTTTCCTTGCCTTAATGGATGTCTAAATCTCTGGTCAGCCTCTTAGCCCTTAAGCTGTTGCTTACAATTCAGGAAATACTTCAAGGGGAAAATAACCAAACGATGTGTTTGGGATTTGCTTTTTGTCCATTGAATTCTTGCTGTCTTCATAACACTCCAATACTTTCAAAACTTTTTTCAAAAATTCAGGTCAAGTTATTCTCAGACTAATAGTTGATCTGATGAAAGGTAGCCTACTATATTTGGAAGCAATATCTTGGGCCTCAGTATTTTTGAAAGCAGCATAATGTAGTGGATAGAGAAGATTTTTTAAATAATACATTTACGGTATGAAGATTCTGGCCATGTCCCTTAGTAATTGTGTGACCAAGGAAAACATATGTAGCCTCTCTACATTTATGTTTTTCTTGTATAAATAATGTAAATAATTGTATCTGCTTCATAAGGTTGTTTTAAGGGTTAAATAATAAATAATGTTCATACAATGTTTAATGTAATGTTTAGAATATACTAAATATTTATAGATAAACATTTTTGTTTCTTCAAGAAAATAGAGTTGATGTTTAGTAATGCATAGCTGCTTAAAATAATGCAATGTGGCTATTTATGTAACACTTTTTGTAGATTGCACTCTACTAGAGAAATATAAAAATTATTCTGAGGTTTACTGACTGGTTATCATGTGCTAGATATTATATCATTCAATATTTATGATAAACATAAAGTTGGAGCTCTTATTATACTTATTTTGCTAATGAGGCTAGGAAAGATTACATGACTTATCCAATGATAATGAGTAGGCAGAGATGCCAGTGTTCAAATCCAACTCTGACCAACTCCAGAACTAGGGAGTTAAATTCCCTACTCTTCTAATCTCACTAAGCAACTCTTCTCTTTCCAAATTATGGAAAACATGCCAGCTTTGTAGAATCTTGCGCAGATCATAGAATCAAGTAGGAACTCAGTAAATAATTGCTCTCTCGCTGACATTCACATCAATAAAATTTGCTGACACAGTAGTAATAGAACAGATAACAGTTCAAGAACAGACCTTTTAATGTTGTCTCTAACTTCCAACCATGGAATTGAGGTGTAATGAGGATGAATTAACATAAACTAAGAATGAGAACAGGTTAATGATTTAATCATAAACAGAAGTTTTGACTCATAATTTAGAAAGCAGCTCCCATTGCCATCTGGAGCCCCAAGATTATCAGTCAAGTGTGGTTGTGGCTTAGGTCTATGCTGTACTTTTACTTGTACTTACATGTGAGTCACTTTACTCAAATTGTAGAAGGAGTGTGATTCCAGCTGCTGCAGAGTTGCATCTATAGATAAGTAGCTGAATGTCAGAAAAATAGAAGACAAATTAGAAGATTAGTTGGGTTGTAAACTTCAAACATACTATTTTTGACATACATGAAACTTGTACAACCCTCATGGATTCTGCCAAATTATGTTAAAATTACTTACTACCCTTTATTTCAGATCTTGTGATACCTGAATTCTTTCTGTATATCAACTCTTATTTATCTTAAGTTCTCATATATACTTAATCTCATATATATATATGGATATATATATATATATATACATATGGTGTCACCCTGTGGAATGTTCCACTAGAGAATTGCAATTTTCTCTTCATCTTCTTTGAAACTATGTGTCTAATTCCATGTTATTAGACATTCCATTAAAAATGCTTCTTATTCACTCTAGTGTTCTTTTCTGATGCTTGCATTTTTTACTATTTTGAGGAACTTTTTAAACTCTTTCATTTTCAAGGAACTCATCTATTTCCTTTAAAATACACAGATATGGCTGGGCACAGTGGCTCACACCTGTAATCCTAGCACTTTGGGAAGCCTAGGTGGGTGGATCACAAGGTTAAGAGATCAAGACCATCCTGGCCAACATGGTGAAACCCCGTCTCTACTAAAAATACAAAAATTAGCTGGGTGTGGTGGCGCGCACCTGTAGTACCAGCTACTTGGGCGGCTGAGGAAGGAGAATCACTTGAACCCGGGAGGCAGAGGTTGCAGTGAACCAAGATCACGCCACTGCACTCCAGCCTGGTGACAGAGCTAGACTCCATCTCAATAAATAAATAAATAAATCAAAATAATATAAACAGATGTCCGACCTTGTCGAGGCTAATTAAATCAGAGTGAAGGATGAGTCAAGTACTTTTATTTTTCAAAAGCTTCTTAGCTGAATCTAATGTGTAGGCAATGTTGAAAACCACTGACCTATAGTTTGAAATGAATCTGCCATATATACGTGTATATATATAAACTCCTTTCACTAATTATCACAGGGCAGATTTCCAGTTCTTTGGGTGATATTTATGTTGTCTCACTGATGTAAGTTCTCTGAAATGAAGAACTGTATGTGTTTTTGGCCACTGAAACTTGAGTGCCTTTCAGAGTGCTTGACATGTAGTAGGCTCTTATTAAGCAACTGAATGAATGGAAGAGTTTCTCAAAATAGCAGAAAAACACAAGCACCAGAAAAGAACACTAGAGTGAATAAGAAGCATTTTTAATGGAATGTTTAATAACATGGAATTAGACATGTAGTTTCAAAGAAGATGAAGAGAAAAACCACAATTCTCTAGTGGAACATTCCACAGGGTGAATACATATTCTCTTAAGACTTCTCTTCTTGATTTTAAATGAAGCTGAAAATGTAAGCTCTGTCTTAAACTTTGTAAGCAAAAAAAGTAATTCAAATAAAAGCTTCAAGTACTGACAAAGGAAAACAGAGATGTTCCTAAATATAATTTGTCAAGAACATATAAGGAATATTTCAAATAGTTTCCTCAAATTCCATCTTGTAATGAGAATGACTAATGCAGCCAAATTCAATGACCACTTTCTGTTGAGAGGTGTTTCTGTGACATTTGTGAACATGAACAATTGACAGATGGTTTTCAGCCATAGCAATAGCAGAAATTCTCAACCCTGGTCATGCAATTAAACTACCTGAAGGGCCTTTAAAATACACAGATGTCTAAGACCTGGTTTAGGATAATTGAATGAGAGTTTATGAGGGATGAGTCAAGTACTTTTGTTTTTCAAAAGCTTCTTAGCTGATTCTAATGTGGAGGCAATGTTGAGAACCACTGGCCTATAGTTTGAATTGAATCTGCTAGTAGAATATCATCATCTATGCAATGTTTACAAGAGGAGCTCTGATTGTTCCATTCTGAGTTTTTATCTTGGTTATTGCAAGTATTTTAATGGCCCTGTACTTTCTATTTTGAATTACCTATTCTTTATACAATTATCCTTTGATTTACCCAGTCTCTTAACCCTTTGGATAACAACATTATATAAATTGTTTTGATACAAGTATATTACTAACATAAAACAATGGAACAGATAGAAAAGAATTAATTTATTGTATAGAGACTGTGGGGATTTATCACGGATGAAGCTAAACCAGCTATCAGAGCAAGATTTATTTTTGAAGGCTGCCAACTTGTTTCCGTAAGCATCTTTTCCATTGCTCCAAACCTTCTACTGAATTTCTTAGTTAAGAAGTATGAGTCTTTCTCAAAGTTCCAGAAGGATCATCACTCAACCCATATTATGAAATGGAAGTTCCAGTTTCTCCAACATAGTAACACCTTTTTTAAGGGCTGCGTAGCTTGATTGTGAAGATAACTAGTAGAAATTGTCTATTCAGTGAGATAAAAATTGTGATTCCCTGCTTACTTATCCCATTTTTATAACTAGGAAAAATCAGATCCTAGTTCTTTTTTGCATGTAAATATCAACATCATTACAGGCACCATATGACTTATTTCAAACTGGGATATTTTTGTGAGTTAAAGCAAGGCTCTATTAACAATTATGCCAGAATACCAAGTGGGAATTTGAACCATTCGAGACAGACCTAGCATCATCTTATTTATCTCTTTCTTTTTCCCAAGATATATAAAATCTTTAATTATTATTCAGGTCTGTGTATATGCTTTTATTCCACAAATATGTATTGAGCCTTCATTGTATGACAGCCATCATTCTGGACAATGACAAAACACACCTGTTCCCCAGCTTCAAGGAAATCACAGTACTCAGAGATAGAGATTAACACACAAGGTAAATGGGATTAACACAAGATGTTAATACAAAATGTCTCCTATATCTCAGTCAACCTCACAGAGGTTCAGTTTTATTCCTAAGAGAGCAACGAGTGTCATGATGGGGTCAGTTATTGGGTGATGTGAAAACTCACATAAGACATCCAGGATAATTCTGTTGTGGGACTGTCCTATGAACTGTAGAATGTTTAGCAGCAACCTTCACTTTCACCCACTAGGTGCCAGTAGCAACCCCCTCTCCAGTGATGACAACAAAAAATGCTAAATGCTTCTAGGGGTAGAATTGCCTGTGGTTGAGAACTACTGAAATGATACAAACACTCAAAAAATGACAATGGAATTAGTACATTTAGCCAAAAGCTGTACATGTTGCTCCTGGTTATATTATTTTGCATGCCTGAATTATCTGGATTGCCTGTCAAAATCAATGAAAGGAAATAAAGACCTGCTTCATTTCATTCACTCTTTGTGAACCCAGTATGGAAAAGTCCCTTTTCTCCTCACTCTGAGTGGATAGCAATTCAATTTTTAAGATTTAGAATTATATTTAATTCTCTTTTAACGCGAGAGAGGTCTGAAACCATTGGCTACATTTATAACAAAATGTAAGTATTTGTGTTAGTAGTGAAAGATGATTTGAAAATTGGTGACTAGGACAGATGGATGTTTGTCTATCTGTATGTATGTTTATCTTGTAAATGATGGGATGTTTATAGGAGAGATTTACAGCTAAGGTTTTGCCACATCCCAAGACATATTAAAATACATCGAGAATTAGGAACTTCTCAAAACCAAATGAATTTAAATTTGATTTAGGTTTTAAAAAATCATTTAGGCATTAGGGAGTAGAAATATAGCAAAATCAACTAAAAATTATGTACACAAAATTGTCATAACGTTGAAAATGTAACTGCCATTGATTTATGCAAGTATAATACCAAGTGTTTTTCTTGATAGAACACATTTAGAGAATAACATATCACAAATGCAAACTTCAAACTTCTCTTTATATAAAAAAACACTTACATTCTGGAAATATTGGGCAGATTAGAAAATGCATGACTTGGAATAGTTCTCAGGTGAGTCTCAAAAAGCCGCCTATGGAAATAACAGTTACACAATTAGAGTTTTAATCACTTGGGCTTTTCTAAGAATTCACCTTAACTATAAAAACACATTATTAAAAAGCATGACAGTTTTACAATGTGTTTCCTTACACATAGTCAACAAAAATAATATTCAACAAACATAGCAAAGAAGCATACATACACTTCTTTTTCCCCAATAAGAATTGAGTGTGAGAGTTAGCTGCAGAAAACATATCATCAAACTTCATCTATGAATTAGCAGTAAACTAATATGTCTTGCCTCGCATCAGACTTTGTTAACTGAGGGGCAAGATTTTTTTTGGTCTTTTAATTAAATTTTAAAAATGTAATGTTTTTTACCTTTTAGGTTTGAGGGTACGTGTGCAGGTTTGTTACATAGGTAAACTCGTGTCACATGATTTTTTTTGTACTGATCATCACCCAGATACTAAGCATAGTACCCAAGAGTATGCTTTTCTGCTTCTTTCCCTCTTCCTACCCTCCACCTTCAAGTAGGCGCCAGTAGTCTGTTCTCTTTGTGTTCCTGAGTTCTCATCACTTAGCTCTCACTTATAAGCTAGAACTTGTGGTATTTGATTTTCTGTTCCTTAGTTAGTTTGCTGAGGATAATGGCTTCCAGCTCTACCCAAGTCGCTGCAAAGGACATAATCTTGTTCTTTTTCTATGACTGTGTAATATTCCATGGTGTTTATGTACCATATTTTCTTTATCCAATCTGTCACTGATGGACATTTAGGTTGATTCCATGTTTTTGCTGTTGTGAATAGTGCTGCAATGAACATTCGTGTGTACAACATAATATATTCATAAGTATATTAAGACTTCTGAATTCATAGCATGTACTTGTCAATGGAAATGTCTTAGAATGCTATCAGAATATGCATTAAGTACATATTAAAAAGAATTAAATGCATGTTTTAAGTTTCAAGAATTAAAAACTGTGGCATGGTTACTATCTACTTGCACAAGCCAAAGTCTCTTCAATCATGTCTTGATCTTATTATCTACCTGCTGCAGTCTGGAAATAACTGACTAACAAGGAGCAAATTCTTCCTCAGAATCTCAAGACAGCTTAATTGGATTTGCACCTTAAAGGTGTGGCTTTTCCTCCAGTCTGCTTTTTCTGGATACTCTTCAGAAGGTGGAGACTGTTCTCATACATAATGAAACACCTTCATGCATTCCAGTATGCCTCTCCACCTAAGCATTCCATTTTTTGAGTTATCTTCTTTACTATAGTTATTACCTGAGAATCGTGTATGGAAAACAGTGTGCATAGTATATTAACTTGGTAAAGACAATGCCACAGCATGCTACTCAGCTTCTCCCTGTGCCTGTTTTTGCCATTTAATCACACTGGTAATCACACATCATCCATTTAGTACCTCATTTATATATTAGAATAACATTGTTTATTTTTTCTTCTCTAAGCTAAGGGGTTCTCAACAATCTATTTCCTTGGTCTATGCTTTCTTTGAACTATTCATTTTTACAACGATTAAAATATATCTATAACTTGCCTTATCAAAGCATCAGCGAGACCAATTTAGTTTGTAAAAGGACCTATTAAAATGGAAGTGGGGGGAGGCGATGTGAATGACGAAAGAGTAAATCTTCAGCTCTTTTCAGCCTCTGGTGTTTCGCCATGAAGCCCAATGTTGCCTTAATATGTTTCAGAAATTCAGGTCCCATAAATTACTTGTTCTCCTTTGAAGGTCTCCTCCCACTTACATTTCCTTAATTGAATTGACTGGATTCTGAAGCTAAAAGATACGAGAAGAAGAAGTTGTTCTACCAAAATCTCTGTGTAAAATAGGGTCATGCTGAAGGAAAACAAAAGATCCATACCTTTTGAGTATCACCCCAGGCGATTGAGTTTAAGCCCAAGGATAGTCTTACTTACAGAGCTGTCCTAAGGCAAACATTTTGTGAGCATATTTGTGGTAAGATTGTAGGTAATATAGGTCTAAACTATAACTTTTTTTTGTTCTTGCTTCCTGTTCCTGCAGATTTTTTTTTTATACTGTAACTTTCACTGACTAAAATTTTTTGAGGTTAGCCTGTGTTCAAAAGTATATAATGTATATAAAATTAAATAGGAAACTAGGATAAGATTGCAATAGTTTCTAAGAAATTGACTTGGAACAGAAATAGCATCTAAGTGCAATTTAATAGCCTTTGGGCTAAATGTTCAAATAATGTTTATATTCTTTCCCAAAGTATGAGTTTCTGAAATATATAATATCTGTTTCTTGAATTATCTCCCTTTTTCACATACATACACTTTAAGTCTAAACAAAAATCTTTTTCCTACTATTGAGTTAGTTGTGGCAGAAGTTGTTTTCAAAGGCAAAACTATTTGAAATGCTAATGTTTTGTTTAATTCCACAAACAAGATATTTTTCCCAGCCAGATTTCTTTCCAAACAAAGCTCACCTATATATATATATATATAGACCAATAAGGATTATGTGTGTCAGAGCAGCTGTCTTAGTAATAATACAATATGCACAGTAAATCAAACAAAATTAAAGTTGAGGATGCTAGCAATCCTAGCCTGAGATAAAAATAAGTTGTCTCTTTGTTGAATAAATTCTGTTAATATCATGATTATAACATACCCTGGGACAAAATACTGATTTCAGTAATGTTAAATGAAGTATTGAATGGGAACTAGTTGTATAGATTGCCAAATTCTATCACAGTTTAACAGTTTATACATTTTGCCTAGATATTTTCAGAGTAATGGGCACATAATCTTAAAAAAAAGATGCAATTGAGTTTGTATACATTTTGTTTACATTTGGTATAAACTGTTTTTGTTGCCTCTCTAAAATTCACCACGTTAGCTTAAGCTCTCCTTTAATTTCTTTCCTCTTTTAAAATGTGATTTAGTCTTATGTGACAAATCACATTATGATTTGAAAACATTAAAAGGAGTTTTCTTCTAAGACATCTATTTCCCTTCAAATAAAGAACAAAAATAATTAGTGAGGGTATGGCTTCTAGGAAATTAACTAAAGACACTGTATTTATTTAGAGAACATTTGCTTCATTTTTCCCTAATAGTTCAACCTTACAATAAGAGTCGTGGGGAATAAATTTATTGTGATATGTGGATGCCTCATGACTCCTAGATACATGGGCTACTGCATTCATGTAACCTTTGTGGAGTTTTTGGGGTTGTTTTGATTTGCAGCAGATTCGTAGCTAGAGTTAATTTATGGAAAGTTTGTCATCAATTGTTTTTATACCTCCATCTAGGGGCAAGCAGCTGGATATTCTTTCTGTTATCTACCTTTTCAAGAGAAGACCTTTTATTCAAAGAATCTTGTGATATTGTGATTACTTCTTTAAATGCAAATGAAAGAAAAAAAGACCAAGTGAATGTGTTTATTTTATCAAAATACTTTATTTTAATTTCAAAATGCATTTTGAATATTTATGGAAAAGGCAAAGTACACATCCAAGTGTATATTCTTTTGACAAAAATATTAGAAAATCTTTAAGTTGCTTCACTATTGTCCAAAGAATTTGTGTCACATAGTATTTGTTTCTAATGAAAATATGCTAGGTATTGAGGAGGCTGTTTTTTATTTGCCTTTGATGATTCACAGTAAGAAGACAATGATGATTCTTTTGAAAATATGACAAAAAACCTCACCTTATGCAAATAGTACATCTATTTGCTATTAATGATTAAGGCGTCATATGTAACTCAGCAAGAAAAAAGTTCACAGCTATAGTTTTCTATCCTATGTGGAGAATGTATGTTTATTTAATAAAGAAGTTGGATTCAAGATACAGAAATTATGTGAGAGAATAGATGTAAGCTGTGTTTGCAATTTCCTTCTGCTTTTTCTGTGATTTATTTAACCAAGAATGATCATTGCAGATATGACAAATGTTTCCTTTGGGTCCTTGCTGAGGCAAGACTTACATCTGTCAAATGTCTGTCTTTGGAAGACATAATGTAGAAATTAATGTGCATGTGAACCATCACTGATTGACTTGTAGATTTTGCAGGTAGGACCCACCTTTTTTTTTTTGTGATAGAGTTTTGCTCTATTGCTAGGTGCCAGGCTGGAGTGCAGTGGCGTGATCTTGGCTCACTGCAACCTCCACCTCCTGGCTTTGAGCAATTCTCCTCCCTCAGCCTCCCGAGTAGCTGGGACTACAGGTGCACGCCACCATGCCCAGCTAATTTTGTATTTTAGTAGAGACGGGGTTTCACCATGTTGGCCAGGATTGTCTTGATCTCTTGACCTCGTGATCTAATTGCCTTGGCCTCCCAAAGTACTGGGATTACAGGCGTCAGCCACTGTGCCTGGCCCACCACGCCCGACCAGGACCTCCTTTTTAAGTACTGTCTTTCTGGTTCTTGTAGTAGCAGTTGAGGAGAGAAATATGGTTAATGTAAGAAAGCAGACAGTTCTCTGTTCCAAACAAGAGCAGTCGGTGCAATTAAATTTTTCACAGAGAGATTGGCCAAAACAAAGGGTCTACAAGTCCAAAAAGCCAGCAAGTCTGAAATACAGCAGGACAGTTAAATCTTAAAGCTCCAAAATGATCTCCTTTTACTCCATGTCTCACATCCAGGTCACGCTGATGCAAGGGTTGGGTTCCCATGATCTTGGACAACTCTGCCCTTGTGGCTTTGAAGGGTACAGCCTCCCTTTCAGCTGCTTTCATCGGCTAGTGTTGAGTGTCTATGGCTTTTCCAGGTGCATGGTGCAAGCTGTCAGTGAATCTACCATTCTGGAGTCTGGAGGATGGTGGCCCTCTTCTCACAGTTCCACTAGACAGCACCCTAGTGAGGACTCTGTGTAGAGGTGCCCACCTCAAATTTTCCTTCTGCACAGCCTTAGCAGAAGTTCCCCATGAGTGCCCCACCCCTGCAACAAACTTCTGCCTGGACATCCAGGCATTTCCATCCATCCTCTGAAATCTAGGCAGAGGTTCCTAAAACACAATCTTGACTTCTGTGAA